GGCGGGACACCGCGGGCCCCCGGCCGCCCGGAAGGAAGTCATTTGGTCCGGCCGCGCCTCAGGCACAGGGGACTTTCGCGGGACACTGGCGGGACACCGCGGGCCCCCGGCCGCCCGGAAGGGAGTCATTTGGTCCGGCCGCGCCTCAGCCACAGGAGACTTTCCTTTCGCCCGCCCACGCAGCTTCGCCTCGCCCGCACGCACGGCACGCACGAACACGAAACCGAAATCGATTTCCCGGTAGGGGGGCTCTCCGTTTCACTTCGATCTCACCCCCTCACCTCCGATACCTATACGACCACCCTTCGGGTGATAAGGAGGTTCGGGGGGGGCGGGGGGAACCAACGTCTCACTCGATCGGTCTCACTATCGATCTCAGTATCGATCTCACTATCGGTCTCGCTCGATCGATATCGCTCGATCGATCTCACAATCGATCTCACTCGATCTATCTCATTCGATCAATCTCACAATTAATCTCACAATCGATCTCACAATCGATCACACAATCGATCTCGCATCCGGTCTCAATATCGATCTCACTATCGATATCACAATCGCTTTCATAATCAACGTCATCATCATCATCAACATCATCACCATCAACATCATCACCAACATCGTCATCATCATGAGGGCACCGTCATCATCATCATAAACATCATCATCAACGTCAGCATCATCATCCGGACAACATCACCATCATCATCATCATCACATCATCAACATCATCATCATCATTGGGACACCGTCATCGTCATCATCATCCGCAGCATCATCATAATCATCATCATAACAGGGACACCATCATGATCACCATCGTTCTCATCATTAACATTATCATCAACATCGTCATCATCCTCGGGACACCATCATCATCATGATCATCGCATCATCATCATCGACATCATCATTATCAACAACATCATCATCATCATTGGGGCACCACCACCATCATCATCATGAGCAACATCATCATCAACATCGTCATTATCATTGTTTTCATCATCGGGACACCATCAGCATCACCATCATCATCATCACCATCATCATTGTCATCATCAGCATCATCATCGGAACACCATAGTCATCATCAACCTCATCATCAATAGCATCATTATCGCCGGGACACCATTTCCATCAACATCATCATCACCAACGTCATCGGAATCATCATTATCATCATCATCATCGGGACACCATCATCGTCATCATCATCATCATGATCATCATCATCCTCATCATCGGGACACTACCATCATCATCGACACCATCATCAACACCTTCATCATATTCATCGGGACACCATCATCATCATCTCATCATCATCATCATCATCATCATTATCATCATCATCATCATCATCATCATCATCATCATCTCATCATCATCATCATCCTCGCGGGACACCGCGGGACACCGCGGGACACCGCGGGACACCGCGGGACACCGGCGGGACACCGCGGGCCCCCGGCCGCCCGGAAGGGAGTCATTTGGTCCGGCCGCGCCTCAGCCACACGGGACACGAGCGGGACACCGGCGGGACACCGCGGGCCCCCGGCCGCCCGGAAGGGAGTCATTTGGTCCGGCCGCGCCTCAACCACAGGAGACTTTCTCTCGCCCGCCCACGCAGCTTCGCCTCGCCCGCACGCACGGCACGCACGAACACGAAACCGAAATCGATTTCCCGGTAGGGGGGCTCTCCGTTCCACTTCGATCTCACCCCCTCACCTCCGATATACCGCATAGACCCGCATAGACCACCCTTCGGGTGATAAGGAGGTGAGGGGGGGGAGGGACCAACGTCGCACCCGATCGATCTCACGATCGAACTCACTACCGATCTCACAATCGATCTCAATCGATAGATCTCACAATCGATCTGACTATCGATCTCACAATCAATCTCACAATCGATCCCGCAATCGAACTCACATTCGGTCCCGCTATTGATCTCACAATCGATATCACAATCGATCTCGCATTCGATCAGACTACCGATCTCGCTATCAAACTCACTATCGATCTCATTATCGATCTCACATTCGGTCTCACTATCGATCTCACTATCGATATCACAGTCGATCTCGCATTCGGCATCACTATCGATCTCTCTATCGAACTCAGTTTCGATATCAGTATCGATCTCACTATCGATCTCACTATCGATATCACAACCGAAGTCACAATCGATTTCACAGTCGGTCTCATCATCGAGCACACTATCGAAATCATTATCGATCTCATCACCGATAGTGATCTCACTACTAACTCAATCGATCGATCTCACAGTCGATCTGACTATCGATCGCACAACAAATTCCACAGTCGATCTCACATCCGGTCTCTCTATCGATCTCACTATCGATATCACAATCGATATCCCATTCGGTCCCACAATCGATCTCACTATCGATCTCATTATCGATCTCACTTTCGGTCTCACAATCGATCTCACAATCGATATCACAAGCGATCTGACATTCGATTTCACGTTCGATCTCACAATCGATATCACTACCGATCTCACTATCGATCATCAAAATAAAACATCAGCATCGTCATCATCATCACCATCATCATCATCATCAATATCATCATCGTAATC